GAGAGAGAGAGAGAGAGAGAGAGAGAGAGAGAGAGATTAACTATTGTTAGTCTTCAGTTTTATAGTTTGCAAAACATATCTATAACTTCAGTAAACAGTATTGAAATTCTATATAACTAACAACTTTATTCTGATTATTGCATGTTATAACTTATAAGTTATTTTATTTATACATAAACTCTAACTATTATAATAAAATGTTATAAGACTATTATAATAAATATGAATCAAGCGGAAATAAGTGTATAATTGGTAAGGAAACCAGTCATGGTTTTCATGTATATTGCAGTATGATTCAGTTGTGTATTTTTACTACAAATGCAACACTCATAAGCTAATATACATGTTGATAAATATCCATTTACGCTATAATATATATAAAGTTGCACCAAAGGTGCACTTTTGTGGTTTCGCTAATAATTGGTTATATTTGTGAACAACCACGTTTTTACAGACATTAAATTACCGGAAAATTATATTCCTTGTATTTCCATGTATAGTTATTAGTAATAACATATTAAATTGTACATTTATTGTAAGTTTGTTAATAAGTGTATAATAAAGTTGCTTTAAAAATAATAAATTTTTATTATGTACATGTCTGCACAACAAGTAGACATCCGATTTAAATTGACAGGCATTTGTAATTAATGATTATGTTTTATTTATAAATATAAAATTCCATGATCAATTGTAATTAAACAATATTTTATATTTATATATTTAACAAATTTTTAAACTATAACAATGAGATTGAATAATTGGTGTCGCTATTCAGTGCAAATCATATTAAACTTAATTGTAATGGCTGTGTTCGTTGCGGGTATTATATTTTGAATTAACAAGATTGTATTAATTAAATTATTGATTTGTGTTTATAATTACTTTCAGTAATTACTAAAACAATTATGTATTCTATGGAAAAATTAAATAAAACACTGGCAAACACCACGATCAACAATGTTACTTATGGTATTTCAAGTATAATGTTTAATTCATCTTGGGTTTCAATGAATATAAGCGATCACGATTAATAAATTGTATTATTTTTATTTATTGAATTTCTATATTTGTATTTATTTTAATTCACTTATTTCTAATTTATAAATGTCAATATAATAATTACTAGTTGTTTTATACTTATTTATTGTAACCTTATTTAATCAATTTAAATTGTCGCGTATTCTATGTATAAAATTTAATTAATTAAAATACTTGTATTGACATTAAAAATTACAACATTTATAATAACTAAATACTAATTATTAAATAAATAAAACAAAATAGAAACAAAAAAATAAATCAAATAGTGTTTCAAATATAACATTCAATTCCCAATGAAATTAATTACAATTTCATTACTATATATCGGTATAAATGTGCTAATAATTGTGGCCCAGAATACCGACCCCATTGAGTCGGGTACGGATAGCGTTGCCAACGATGATAGTGTGACCAGCAGTGATCCGATTCAGACGGACGCTGATAGTGTGACCAGCAGTGACCCAATTCAGACGGACCATGATAGTGTGACCAGCACAGATCCGATTCAGACCGACCCAACTGTAACCGAGGAATGTGACGGAATCTGTCCCATAAGTACTGAGGAGTCGGTTATATTCACGACCACAGCTGCCACGAGTGTCAAAACAACGGGTGCGTCTAAACAGGTGGCAAACGCTGACTTCGCCGCATTGGCCCACTACACGGTGACCACCACAACGGAGGCACCTAAAGGATTTTTTAGTGGTTTTTCCAGTTATTTTAACTGGTGGGGCTCCAAGGACAATACCACCGCAAACAACACTAGCCCAGCACCGAGTGTCACAACGGTTAGTGCAAACCCTTATAAATAACATGATTAGTTATATTAAAAAACAGTTTATTTATTAATATTTTTGGAATATAATAATAGTATAAGTATTTAAAAACTATTATTTTCTATTTAATAAACCAGCATAATTGAAAATTTTATCTATCTAAAATTTAAACCCATGGTACAGGTGCCAACTAGCCTGGCCCAGCGTAAGTCTAATTTCTGGGGCGGTGGTAGTGGTAGTGCCAAAAATGTTGGCAATGGTGGCCATAAAACACCCGATATAACGACCGAGGGCGAAGATTTTGACGATATGATGCACACACACTCCGAGTGCGACGATATAGACCCCGATGCCTGTGCCGGCACACAAAACAGTACCGACAGTTCGGTTACCGGCGTAGGCCCGACCGAAACTGGAATGATCAAGTTAATTTCATCGACTACAAAGCGACCTAGATCCTTACTTAAACGCTTGCTGAAAAGGCTTAAACTGTATTACGGCGACAATGACACACCTGTGAGCGAGAAATTGGCCAGCATTAAGGTAATATGATTTATATTTAATTTATATTGGTATATATTAGTAATTTATATTGTATTGTATATATTTTTGTTTATTTTTGACCAGGGTTATTTGAAGCGATTTGGTTACTTGGATTATGTGAAAAGGTTGATACGTAAGGGCATTAAAGAGCGTGTGTTCGCCCACCGGCAGCGCCGCAAACAGCCCTTTAAATACCGCATCACTTTTGGCCGCCTTTTACGGGACGACATCAAAACGGGCGCCGATATCGTCAGGACTGCTCTCAAAGTGTTTCAAAAGTTTATGCGTTTAAAAATTACGGGTAATTTGCAGAGAGAGAGAGAGAGAG